TTTGTTTGTGTGGTGGTTTGGGGTATTTTTTTGGTTGGTTGGTTGGTTGGTGGTTTTTTTTTTGTTTGTTTTTTTTTTTTTTTAGCTTAATTTAATTTTCTTTAATATTTCCAGGATTCCAAATCTCCTTCACCAAGACCAAATATGCCAGTCTGGTACTTTATAATGAAAAGTAGCAACGTGCAAAACATTGATATTTCTCAACAGAAGGGTATATGGTCTACTACGCCGAGTAATGAGCGAAAGCTAAATAGAGCCTTTTGGGAGAGCAGCATGGTTTACTTGATATTTTCTGTTCAAGGGTCTGGACACTTTCAGGTGAGTCCTTAGTTAATACTGAGTATTAGCTTTGGTTAATGGTTTGGGAGAGTGCAGCAAATGACTATGTGTAGTATGGAGGTTTTTGCTTATGACTTCTGACCTCTAAGAAGTAAAGATTAGCAAGCAAAAGTAACTGGTTGCTGATAAAAGAGTACTTCACTCTTCTCTGACATACATCTTTTTAGCTAAGTCAGTTTGTCACTCAAAGGCTAAGAGCTAACTGCTTCTGAGCATCTTGAGTCAGAATAATATTTAGACCCTGCATTAATTCTTTAAAACAACAAACCAAACAAATTCAGACAAAACAGGGGATTGCTACACTTTTCTCTGCGTGCCAAAGTAAACATTGTAACAGGCAATTACAGTCAAGTCAAAGCTTTCTAAAGCCAGTCATTTAATAAATACATAAATGTATTTATTAAAAATTTTAATAAAATCTGTTCTGTCTGAACTGCAGTTTTTAAGTCAGGAGGTGGAAGGCAATGGCCATGATTCTTCCAGAGCTGTTTCTTTACTTCAAGTTTAGCAAAGTGTTTGTCAACAACTTGTTGACAAATTTGTAGCCATTTGACGTTAAAGACTTGACCTGTAGTGAAGTAGTGCGAAGTTGCAGGTTGGCTGTATTCTGGAGTGGGCTAAACTCAGTTGTTCCAGGAAAAAACGAAGTTCAACTTAGCTCTTTTTATATGAACTGTTAATGAAAATCAGCTAAACTTAAAATCTAATGAACTAGCCCAAATACAGCTGCCTTGGTGCCACTACTGAAGGATTATGGTGAGATATATGTATGATGATTTGCAAATGCAGTACTGGAAAGTAATTTTCAGCACGGCAGTTGTTACTGAAAATGGTCTATATTGTATTGGTGCTCTAGACGAGAAATCTGGGAGAGAAAGGCATGCTGACGTCAGGAGCATAGGTGGTTGATGTTGCCTTAGCCTTTTAGTTTGACAATGCACTGGACATTCATGGGATTAACAGTATGAATATTGTTGTGTACCAAGTGTCTCCTTACTTTCCACCTTTATTTTTCCCCTGTTCCTTTTATTAATTTCCATTTAAGTCTGGCTTGAGCTGTCTAGGACTGCATTTGTTGCAACAGTAGTGTGTGCTGCTGACTTAAGTAGTGCACTGCATCTTGTGGACTCTTCAGTCGTAAGTAGTGTAAATTTTCATAAATACCTTATAAGTTTGGTGCATGGCGGTTTGTTTTGTTTGTGGTGGTTTGAGTTTTTCTTCCTTCTTTGTTGAAGTGAGGAAATAAAAAAGCAACTTTGACTTCTTTCCTCGAAAAACAGCTATACTCTCATACTTCCATGTGAAATTTTGTTAACATAGAAGGAACATGGGAAAGAAGGAATGGATTTCTGAAAAAAAAACCTACAACTAACAAGGAATAGCTAATGAACTATTATGTAGTAGAACATTCATCTTGATTCCTTAGGATTCAGGTGGTTTTGCAGCACCTTTTCCACTTCTGTTAAAAAGCTAAAAAAAACTTTGATAATTGTGAGAGATGAATTGAGAGGCATTCTGTAGTGAAACCCTGGAAGGGGTATTTGAGGTGGGAAATCACATGCAACTTTCTAGGTGCAGGCACTTCAAAAGATCCAGCTTAATGGGGGAGAGTACTTTGAAACTAATTCAGAAGTTTCATATATAGTCAAGTAATTTAATTCCAATGTAAGCATAAAGGCTGTAATTGTGTCTTTCCTTTTATATTTCAATTTTTGCTCCAGGGTTTTGCTAGAATGGCATCAGAGATAGGGTGTGAGAAAAGTCAAGACTGGGGATCTGCTGGTTTTGGAGGTGTATTTAAGGTGGAGTGGATCCGAAAAGAAAGCATTCCTTTCCAGTTTGCACACCATTTGCTCAACCCTTGGAATGATAATAAGAAAGTACAAATAAGCAGGGATGGCCAGGTAATGTTCTCTTCTAAAGTCTTCCTTACTTGGTGTATTGTTTGTTAGCTTGTTTAGCCTTGACATTTATCTCAAAACACTGGAGAGCATAAGGTAAAAAAATTCACAGAAATTCTGGCAGAATAGCCTACAGCAAGTATGAAAAGAAAAGTTTTCCTCTTTGCCACAGAGCACAACTAAGAATCAAGCATTACTGTTCTTGACGGCTGTGCAGGATGCCCAGGGCAGACTAAATAAATTTTGCCAAAACGCTTGCCCAACCTGCTACTACAGTAGCAGTGACTCTCCTAACTCATGAACTCATAAGTTTTTGTAAATATATGAACTAATAAGGATTTTTTCCTCAAAATACAGTTTCTATAGGTTTTGCGTGTTCTATAAAATAGTGCTGCTTAGTCCTGTACTACCAACACTGGGGATTTAAAAACAGAGTGTCATATAGCAGTCTGCAGGTCTGCATTTGTAACAGAATAAATTGCAATGGATTATAAGCTAGTTTTATAGCATTTTTTCAGCAACATCTGTAACAAGGCAGTGGCTCATGATGTGTTTTAGCAATAGATTTGTTCTCTGAGGTAGTCCGTCACACGTGAGTAACTGTCCATCATTATAGCTTTGAATTTTCTGTAAAGCCTGAAAAGAATCTTGAGGTAGAAACTTAGGACAGTTCTCCAGTGTGTTAAAGCTAAATGCAACTGCAAAAAGCTGAAAGAGAATTGGCACAAGAGTTCTCTGGCAGTTTCTGCATTCTCCCCAGACCACTTGCAAAATATCTTTAGAGATTCCAGAGCCTGATGCCATTCTAGCAAAACCCTGGAGCAAAAATTGAAATATAAAAGGAAAGACACAATTACAGCCTTTATGCTTACATTGGAATTAAATTACTTGACTATATATGAAACTTCTGAATTAGTTTTAAAGTACTCTCCCCCATTAAGCTGGATCTTTTGAAGTGCCTGCACCTAGAAAGTTGCATGTGATTTCCCACCTCAAATACCCCTTCCAGGGTTTCACTACAGAATGCCTCTCAATTCATCTCTCACAATTATCAAAGTTTTTTTTAGCTTTTTAACAGAAGTGGAAAAGGTGCTGCAAAACCACCTGAATCCTAAGGAATCAAGATGAATGTTCTACTACATAATAGTTCATTAGCTATTCCTTGTTAGTTGTAGGTTTTTTTTCAGAAATCCATTCCTCTTTCCCATGTTCCTTCTATGTTAACAAAATTTCACATGGAAGTATGAGAGTATAGCTGTTTTTCGAGGAAAGAAGTCAAAGTTGCTTTTTTTATTTCCTCACTTCAACAAAGAAGGAAGAAAAACTCAAACCACCAGCAAACAAAACAAACCGCCATGCACCAAACTTATAAGGTATTTATGAAAATTTACACTACTTACGACTGAAGAGTCCACAAGATGCAGTGCACTACTTAAGTCAGCAGCACACACTACTGTTGCAACAAATGCAGTCCTAGACAGCTCAAGCCAGACTTAAATGGAAATTAATAAAAGGAACAGGGGAAAAATAAAGGTGGAAAGTAAGGAACACTTGGTACACAACAATATTCATACTGTTAATCCCATGAATGTCCAGTGCATTGTCAAACTAAAAGGCTAAGGCAACATCAACCACCTATGCTATAGACGTCAGCATGCCTTTCTCTCCCAGATTTCTCATCTAGAGCACCAATACAATATAGACCATTTTGTAACAACTGCCGTGCTGAAAATTACTTTCCAGTACTGCATTTGCAAATCATCACATATACTCACCATAATCCTTCAGTAGTGGCACCAAGGCAGCTGTATTTGGGCTAGTTCATTAGATTTTAAGTTTAGCTGATTTTCATTAACAGTTCATATAAAAAGAGCTAAGTTGAACTTCGTTTTTTCCTGGAACAACTGAGTTTAGCCCACTCCAGAATACAGCCAACCTGCAACTTCGCACTACTTCACTACAGGTCAAGTCTTTAACGTCAAATGGCTACAAATTTGTCAACAAGTTGTTGACAAACACTTTGCTAAACTTGAAGTAAAGAAACAGCTCTGGAAGAATCATGGCCATTGCCTTCCACCTCCTGACTTAAAAACTGCAGTTCAGACAGAACAGATTTTATTAAAATTTTTAATAAATACATTTATGTATTTATTAAATGACTGGCTTTAGAAAGCTTTGACTTGACTGTAATTGCCTGTTACAATGTTTACTTTGGCACGCAGAGAAAAGTGTAGCAATCCCCTGTTTTGTCTGAATTTGTTTGGTTTGTTGTTTTAAAGAATTAATGCAGGGTCTAAATATTATTCTGACTCAAGATGCTCAGAAGCAGTTAGCTCTTAGCCTTTGAGTGACAAACTGACTTAGCTAAAAAGATGTATGTCAGAGAAGAGTGAAGTACTCTTTTATCAGCAACCAGTTACTTTTGCTTGCTAATCTTTACTTCTTCAGAGGTCAGAAGTCATAAGCAAAAACCTCCATACTACACATAGTCATTTGCTGCACTCTCCCAAACCATTAACCAAAGCTAATACTCAGTATTAACTAAGGACTCACCTGAAAGTGTCCAGACCCTTGAACAGAAAATATCAAGTAAACCATGCTGCTCTCCCAAAAGGCTCTATTTAGCTTTCGCTCATTACTCGGCGTAGTAGACCATATACCCTTCTGTTGAGAAATATCAATGTTTTGCACGTTGCTACTTTTCATTATAAAGTACCAGACTGGCATATTTGGTCTTGGTGAAGGAGATTTGGAATCCTGGAAATATTAAAGAAAATTAAATTAAGCTAAA